GCTCTGGAGTGCTCCAAAGGGACTTCTTTTGTGGGATCATCTGAGTGGTCAGAGCCATGCTTTTTCAGTGCTATCAGACTTACCCTCCACTCCGTCCCCGAATCCTTGTCTTCTCATGAGCTCCCCATGGTAGAAAGTACTTGTTAGGGAAACTATGTCACTAGCATTGTCTTGGGAAAAAGAACTGCAGTGGCCTGAGCTATGTAAAGTTCTTGCTGACACAGCATCTGGTGGATGGATCAGCTTCCTCTAGAAACATTTACACCTTGGCCTTGAGTTCCAGAAGATGCAACTAACTCCGGCTTACTGTATTAATGTTCTAAATACTGTCCTCCTTGATACTTCCCCAAAAGAGTTCAAGTCTCCGGCTTCCCCCCCCCCCTTTAACCTAGTAGGGAGTTTCTCCTGCCTTCTATTTTAGAAACTGGGGGAGTTAAAGGTTAGTTTTCTGGAGAAACTCAACCATTATAGAATGTTTTAGTCCATTTCCTGTTGCTATAACTGAATGCTCAGATGAAGTTATTTGTAAAAACTAAAGGTTTATTTAACTCATTGTTTTGAAGTCGTCTGGTGAAGGCCTTCTTTTTTTAAAAAAATATTTTATTTTTATTTTATGTCTATGAGTGTTATACCTGCATGTGGGTAGGTGCACCCGTGTGGTGCAATGTCCATGGAGGATAGAAGAGGCTGTCAGATCCCCTGGAACTGGAGTTTACAGACAGTTGTTAGCTGCCATTCGAACCCCGGTCTTCTGCAAGAACAGTCAGTGTTCTTAACCACTGAGCCATCTCTCCAGCCCCAGGGCCTTCTTACTCTATCATAACATGCTGAAGGACTCCATGTGGTGAACTAGAGCAAATGTGCCAGCTTAGGTTTCCTTCCTTCCTTTTTTTTTTAAATTGAGATTTTGTAATTTCATACAAAAATTCTTAATCAAACTTAGCCCCCTTCCCCCATCTATGCCTCTCCCATCTCCCCACCAGACCTCGTGTATTCTGCTATACATGTTAAGTGCTATCCATTCAGGCATTTGTACCCAAATGTCCTTCAGTGTAAATTAATTCACTGCAATCCAGTCAGCCCATCTAGAGATCGTATGTACTGCTCGCCCTCACCCAGTAGCAATCAGTCTCTAATAGTTCTCAGTCTTGTGCCAGCTCACCACCCATTTCTCTCCTCCCCTTTGGCCCTTGTTTAATTGGGTTGGCATGCGTCTTGGGCTCGATGCCGCCATTGCCACGAGTTTCCATGGGCAAGCTTCCAGTGGCCTGAAAGCCTCTGCTTCCCCGTGTTCATGAACCAGCCCTGGCTCCTACAATCTTTCTGCCCCCTCTTCCTGAGCTGTGGGTAGATGAGGTTCCATATGGGAGTCCTATCCTGCACTCTTCAGTCTCTCATTCTATTTTTCAGTCTTTTATTCTTTAAAACTTGGCCAGTTGTGACCTTCTGTGCACATCAGACGTTTTTGTATAAGGAAGTTTTACTGGTGACAGTTGAGGGACGCATTAGTTTTGAATTTTCTCTGTGCCCCTTGTTCCACTATGTTCCATGAGCCTTATTTGTAGAGGGCCTTCCTTAAATGTGTGTGGTATATATGTATGTATTTCTATGTGGTATATGTATGTACATGTGTTTATGTGTGCACTTGTATGTCTATGTGCACATGGAGGTCAGAGGTCAATGCCAAGTGTCCTCCTCCATTGCTCTCCGCCTTGTCTTTTTGAGAGAGTCTCTTATTGAACCTTGAACTTGCTGATTCACCTGGTCCTGCTGGCCAGCAGGTCTCCAGGATCTTTCTATTGGCAGCACTTGGGATTCCGGACTTGCGCTTGGCATTTCATGTGGGTGCTGGGTATTCAGACACAGGTCCTTATGCTTGTGTGGCAAACACTTTACCAGTTGAGCCATCTCCCAGGTCCTCTCTTTCTCTTCTTAGATCACCAAGAACCCATTTTCAGGCTTCATCTGATCCCAAATTATCTCCTGAAAACCCTACTTCAAAAATAGCACTAATATATGACTTTGGAGATTGTTCCCAACATCTGTTGCAAGGGACATAGGATAAGGAAAGTGCTCTCTCTCTCTCTCTCTCTCTCCCTCTCCCTCTCTCTCTCTCTCTTCCTCTTCCTCCAGTTCTCTCCATTCCTTCCTTCTTCCTTTCCCCACCCCAGTAGTCCTGGGGATTGAGCTAGGGTCTTATGACTGTCCTACCACTGAGCTATGCCCCCAGTTTCAGAGAACTTTAGTGCTGTAGAGGCTGGACCATTCCTGAGCTAAGCCTGAGACTAGGGCTCCCCTCTATAATACAATTGTATGAATCTGCATCTGGCTTTCAATAAACTTTCAAAAGGGAATTGTGAAGAGAGACAAGCCCTGAACAGGGCTGCTACTGTGAATTTTATGTATCAGGCTCTCCAAGCTTCTTCTTGAGTGGGGAATGTTGGGATCTGTGCCTCTCCAGAAGATGGAGTTTGGCTTGGATTTCCTTCCACAAGGTTGTTCTTGAAGCTCAAAGGACAAGTAAACCTGCTCACCTCCTCCTAAGGATTCCACGAGGCAGGCATCAGCAAAGGTACAGAAACAGCTCAAATGAATCACCAGCCCTGTTGATTGGCCCATGCCAACCCAGTCCCTGTTCACTTGGCATGGTCTCTCCATGGAGAGTCTGAAGACCACTAGATGGCAATGTGGTGGCCGGTGGGAGTCCTTTTTCCCTCTGTGCTGCACAGATAACCTGTTCTCAGAGTTCAGAGTTCGCCAAAGGAGTTCATTTTTAAAAGACCGTATCCTGAGGAAGCATGAGTTTCCTCTCCTAAAGGAGGAAGACTGTGCCCCAGAGAAAGGGCTTTAGCCAACCTGGGGCAGAGCTGCAGCCATGTAGAAAGGGCCTGGCTCTACTCCCATAGATCCCAAGTCAGGGGGACTGCTCCGCTTATCTTGCCTGGGGTTGGGGCTTTGGTCTGAAGCTCAGAGCAGTGTGTGCTGGAGAGCAGAGTGGGGAAGACTGCTCCTCATCATGGCAGCGGTGGCTGAAGACCAGAGGAGCCCAGAGGCTGTGAGGCAGCTTGCCTGAGCCCACATTTTCATTCTCTCTCCCTCTTCTCCTCTTTCCACCTCCCTCCCTCCAGCTTTTTCTTCTTTTTGGCCTTCGTTTTCCTCTACACATTTTCTTCACTATAATCTGATTGGCTCCCTCTTCCAAGGTCTTAGTCTCTATTCTTCTGAGTATCCAAACTTTGGATCCCTTCACCACTGTTAGTCTCAAAGCCATGTATCCATCCAGCTCCCATGCCACACCTCCTGCTGACAGTGTGGGTCTCAACCTTAAAGTACAACAGAACCTCATAGACCCAGCTGGAATCAGATCTCCACTCATGCCCAGGCAGCTGTGGGTGAAGCGACAGAAGTCAGGCGGCTTACTGGGCTGGACCATGCAGGTTGTTAATAGGATGGGTTCGCTCAGAAGAGAGATGGGTATGGCTGTGAAGGAAATGAAGGCTGTATCTGATTCAGGTGGCCAAAACCTTTGGTAGTCTATTGCTCCAGATGGGCCCCTGGATATTAAACAGAAGGGCATTTCCACATATGTACGTTCTATCTGTGTAACTTAGGAGGCATAACACCTTGAACAAGTTTAATTATTTTTTAGCTGTAGTTTGTTCATCTGTAAACAATATCTGTCTCATAGGATTTCTGGGGATTATATAAAATAGTACTATTAAAATGAATCTTGTAGACAAAAAAAAATGATAGCCTTAAAAAATCAGTTATCTCTCTCTTCTGGGATCTCAGACCCAAAGGCCAAGCTGACCTTAAAGCAAGGGAAGTCTGATCAGGTGTTGCTGGGTAACTTATACTTTGAAGGAAAATAAAGCTTTTAATGGTCTGGAATGCATAGCTGGAGGTCCCTCCTGCTGGGTGGAGATCGCTTAGTCCTACCACTGCCATGTCACATCTATGGCTCTACTACAAGGGCTGCAGTGGTTTAGAATGGGGATCAGGTTTGCTAGAATCATATACCCCGGGTCTGTTCCCGACTGGCCACAGGGTGTAAGGGATATTACACAGCCTTGCTCGTCTTCAGTTTCTCTGACTGTAGAGTGGCGATAACCACAGCATCACTCTTAAAGGACTAAGGGAGATGTCCTGGTGACTGTTCAGCACAGTTACCCAGAGTTATCAAGCCTTCCATGAACTAGAGCTGGTATTATTATATAATCTGAGATGTGGAGATGAACAGGAATGGAAAACTGACTCAGCTTCATGTGGGACAAACACGCAAAGGCAAATGAAAACTCTAGAATTTTGGAGTCTTTGTTTTTTAGTGTGTGTGCGCGCACACCTTTATGTGTGTGCATGCCCACAGAGGCTGAGTGTCGTCCTCAGAAGTCATCCACCTCCTTTAAACAGGGTCTTCCATTGGCCTGGAGCCCACCAATTAGGCTAGGCTGACTGGCCAGAGAGACTAATCCAGGGATTCTCCTAGATGACTTCCCCGGTATTGGGGTCACAAGCACCTGGCATTTTTTTCCATGTGTTCTGGAGAGCGAATGCAGGTCCCTGTGTTTGCATAGCAAGTGCTTAATCAGTGGAACCATCCCCCTCCCAGCCTCACTTTGTTGCTGGTTTTTGTTTTGTTTGGGGGTATGGTTTTTATTTTTATTTATTTTTTAGACAGGGTCTTACTATGTCGCCCTGACTGGCTTGGAACTTACTATGTAGACCAGGCTTGCCTCTGCTTCCCAAGTGCTAGGATAAAGGCATGTGCTACACACCTGGCTATTTGTTGCTGTTTTTTGAGGTTAGCTCACTATGTATCTGAGGATGACCTTGAGTTCCTGAGCCTTCTGCCTCCACCTCCCAAGAGCTGGGATTACAGGCGTGTGCCACTGCATCTATCTGGTCTTCCAATTAATTAGCTTCTATGCCCTGCCCATCCACACAGAGTCCTGCCCCTGGTCACAGAGAAATGTTGCCCACCTGACAAGAAGTGCGTGAGCTTCCACGGTAGAACATTTCCACTTTATTGTCTGTAAACTCTTCTTTGGTAAACAAGAAGACAAGAAACCCAAAGAGAAAAGGAACACACAATCCAAGAAGGCAAGGAGAGGGCAGTCACCCTCCACAACAGGAGCTCGGAGAAGACAGCTACACCATGAGCAAAGTGGTGGATGGAACCTGGAAGTTTAGGGTGGGTGATGGCCTGGGGGGGTAGAGGGCAGCAAGAGGGAGGAGTCCACTCTGTTGGACACAGAAGCCTAAATCATACAGCAGAGAAGCTCATGCATCACTGGGAAGAGACTAGGGAAGCTCCACCTGTGCCCCCGCCCACCATCCATGCATTGGTGACCCACCAGACAGCTGAATGTCTGGTTGGGGTTGGGTTTGCACCACCTCAAGAAATGCCATCAGCCAGCCACCCTCCATTTCTCCTTTCCTGCTCTGCAGGCTGGTGTGTGCAGGTTGCAGGGGTGGGGAGGGGAGGGCTTGCTCTTTAGGTCTAGGGAGGAGTGTGGGAGTATCAGGACAACTGGGCAGCACTTGGGGGAGGTGGAGAAGCAGCCCCCATCCCTTGCTCCTTTACATGGGGGGCTCACTGCAGAGCACAATCTCCAGGTCCTTTCGGTAGAGTTTCCCTGCTTCTGCCAAGGACATGACGCTCTTCCTGTAGTTGGTGAGCTGCTGGATGTTCATCTCCTAGGAGAGGGAGAGGGGGGTAAGAACAGGCTCATGTGTGGCCCTGCCTAAAGGAGCCATCTCACACATTCATAATCATACTACATGAACCTTTCATCACATTCTAGGGTAAGTATCCCAGAGGGACATAAAACATGTGCTTTGCACTCAGGCAGACCTGGGATAAAACCCTCTATTACTGGCATTGTTTTGAGGAAAAGCAGTCAACCTTTCTGGGGCTCAGCAGCCTTACCTGTAAAATAGGTATACTAATAATCCTGCCTCAAGAAGGTGTCACAATGACCAGGTAAGGGAATGGATAAATATACTGAGCACCTGTGCTAGACTTCCCAGACAAAGGAAGCGGCTGTGGTCACAGTTATGGTTCTGGATGACTTAAATGTATTCCTCCACCTCACTGGAACTCCATTTACTCAGGGCTGACCTGGGTCTCTGTAGGTAATGGAGATGAAGTCAGGGAAGCTCCTGGACCACTTTCCTAAGCCTTCATTTTGACAAAGAATTCTGTTTCCTCTAGCAACAAATCTCACCGGCCTCTGTTGTTCACTGGCTTCCTGTGTCTTCAGGGACCACTAAGATAGAGAATTCATAAACATGTGCCTAGATATACAATGGAGGCCAGAAATGAACAGAGTAGCAACCTCTGGTATATCTTATGTTGGATATGTGCTTTATAATAACTTCCTTGGATGCAAATAGCCAGTGTATCTGATATATCTCAAGCTGGAAAATCACTTAAGCAACTGTCTTTTCCTTTGTTCCTTCTTCTCCGCCCCCGTCCTTCCGCTCCCTTCCCGCTTCTCTCTCATTAGTATTAGTATTATCAAACCCCAGGGTCTTTCACATGCTAGATAAGCACTCCACCATCGAGCTCCATCGTTCCCCAGTCTTCCCTTCTTCTTCTTTCGTATGGTAAACATTGGCATGTACTTAAAAATATATTCCCCATTCCAGGCCGATGGGTCATTACCTCAGTTCTGCTAATGAGAAACCGGAAGTACAAAGACTAAGATAGTCACTAAAAGGTTGAGTCACCTCACCAAAAATATCTTCAGTCTCCTGAGCCCCAAAGGCTACCTGTTTATCTGGTCCACCTGTGCCCTGTCACCTCTCTTCTAGTGCTCCAAGGTCAGAGTTTTTTTTTGTAGCTCAGGGATACAGCCCCTTATGGTATCCATTTCTGGTTTTATACCCCTGGCCAGCCCAAGGGCACTTTGCAACATCTCTAGCTTCGGGAGCATCTTCCCTATAGTTGTGAAGTCCCTGGAAAGTCACATAAAAATAAAAGTCACAGTGCAATACACTGTGTGTGTGTGTGTGTGTGTGTGTGTGTGTGTGTGTGTGTAGTTATTTATCACTCAATTAGGAACCGACAAAGGGACCCCACATATCAAGTCCGAACTTGAGAAAATTCCTAGGGGGAAGTGCAGCAAAGAGAGACTTATTTTCTGTCTTGATGTTTTGCTTGAGATTTGGAAAAGGCCTTGGTGGGTTGTCATGGTCTTAGGAGTACTGAGAAATATTGAATTTCAATCCCATCAGGCTGTCCTTTCGGTAGCCCCCAGCATTAATCTGCTCAGAAACCTTATCACTGTCTGTACAGTAACCATTAAAATGGAGTGGCACCTGCAATGAGGGCTTACCCCAAATGGCCTGTTTCTGTCCCAGCTCAGGTGCTGGTATTTAGTCATGCAGCTCTCCCGCTCTCTTTCTCTACTGATTCACTCTCTTAATGCCCAGGTGCCAAATCTGGGACCTGGTACATGTAGAAGGCTCTCAGGTAAACAGCCTCATTAATGTCCTGTTCTCTGACCTCCAGAGCTGCTCCCAAATCCCAGCACCTAACTCCTTGCCTCTGTCTCCACATTCAGGGCCAACCTCTGTGTTGTCCTTCATATTAAGAAAGAGCCCAGTGAGTTAATGACCGCAAAATATAGGTCACTCTGAGATGGATGTATGCATACAGAATTTACTAACCTCAAGTGTCAGGTAGGGCCTTATAAAGGCCAATTATGCCTGATTAATGCATTTCAAATCATGCAGATTTCCAATTTTCCTTTGGACACATAAAGCTATATAAATAATTTTCTACTGGGGTGTGGTATAGGAAAAAGTTTGCTGAGTTCCAATATTGCCTCTAGTGAAGTCTTCCTTCTTTCTAGAAACAATTCGATTCCTTATCATTTGTTCCTGGTCTCATTCTAAAATCACTTATGGGTAAGGTTAAAACATAAATGTAGGATGGAATAAATGAAGGCTGGTATTCAGGATGAAGAAAAACCAGAACATCCTTGCAAAGAGAGACAAACAAACTTAAAAGCTGCAGCATTTTTTCCCCTGAAATTGAGCATTAAATTTAGCTCTTATTTGGCAGCCAAGGTGGTAGGGAATTACAGCGCTTTCACTAGCTAATTAAAGAAAGCAGCACAACCATTTGCTCCATGAAAGACATTTTCTGTAGGTGAAAGGAGACAGTTGCAAAAGCCCCTGACTTCTGATCACTGCTCCACCTGATCCCGCCCATCCAGGGCACCAAGGCAAGGAGGATTCCTGGAGGGTTCCCAAGAGGCAATTCCAAGCCAAAGAATGGCGGTCTTTCTCAGCCTTTTCTTGGAGGTTTATAGATACAAGGCAGTATTACTCCATTCTGAAATGGAAGGGAATTCTGACATGCTAGAACATGGACAAGCCTTGAGGAGAATGGAGAGTTACTATGGTTTGCAAGATGAGAGTTCTGGAGATGGATGGCAGTGGTGGTTGCACACTGGGATGAATATGCTGGACACCCCTGGAGCATATTCTTAACAATGGTTATGCTGGGGGCTGGAGAGATGGCTCAGCAGTTAAGAACACTGGTTGTTTTTGCAGAAGACCTGGGTTCGAATCCCAGCATCCACATGGCAGCTAACTGTTCATAACTCCAGTCCCAGGGAATCTGACAGCCTCTTCTGACCTCTGCGGGCATTGCATGACACGGGTGCACTTACCTACATGCAGGCAATACACGCATACACATAAAATAAAAATAATAAAAACTAAAAAAAAGTTTAAAAAATGGTTATGCTGATGAACTTTATGTTATGTGTTTTCTACCACAATGAAGTACAGAAAAATTAACCAACCAAGCAGAAATAAAAACACCTCCACCCTACAGGCTGCCATGGCCTTGTTGTGGCAGCTTAGAGGGGAGAGGCCGAGAAGGCGTTTTGCTTCTGTTTGAGTGTGTCCACCCCTCCCAGGCCTGGGAGCCTCACCCAGGCCCCTGGGGTCACTTGCTCACCTTCTTGTTCTTCTCATACAGATCTTTCAGAAGTGCATCCAGCTCGTTCTCATCAATGTATCCGCTTCCATCCTGAGGGAGGCAGCAGAGTCAGCTCAGCCCTCTGAAATCCAGGCCCCAGTCATCCCGACCTTGCCTCCTTTCCCCACCTACTTTCAGGAGTTCTAAGGGAGCAAAGGCTCTAACCTTCCCATCACTCTGTGCAAAGAAACCACATAAAATGTTCAGACCATGTAAGGACAGAATAATTCCCTTTGTGTCTTTGCCAGTCAAAAGAGGAATGGGGCCAGGCGTGGTGGTGCACGTCTTTAATCCCAGCACTCGGGAGGCAGAGGCAGGCGGATCTCTGTGAGTTCAAGGCCAGCCTGGTCTACATAGTGAGTTCTAGGACAGCTGGGGCTAGAAAAGAGGAATGGGGTGTTTCGGGTCAAACTCTTGATATTCTTCTTTCCTGGTGGTGGTTCTTATTTACATTCTATTATAAACAAGGCTCCGAAAGCCTAGAGTTAATGGCTTGAGTCTCGGGGCTATTTAAGTCTACCTCCAGCCCTCTGTTTATAGATGAGACCACCAGAGCCACATGCGTACAGGGTAGCTATAATAGGGGTGGTGGATCGTCTCACTCCCAAATGTCCTAGAAAACAACTGGCTGACCTGGGTGTGGTGGCATAAGCTTGTAACCCCAGCATTTAGAAGCCTGTCATCCCAGTAGTCGAGAGGCTGAGATAGGAAGATGGAGTTTGAGGGTAGCCTGGACTACACAGGAAGACCCTGTCTCAAAATCCAAACTAAAACCAATAAAAAACTAATAGTCATTAAAAACCAAGGCAACCAAACAAAAACCTTGGTTCTTGTATAACAAACACCATGACCAGGCTCCAACATGACCAACCAACCCTCAGCTCTGAGCACAACCCTCTTTCGCTATTTCTCCATTGTACTTTTAAGAAACAAGAGTGCCATTTGCCTTCTCACATAGCAGAAGACGTTGCAGGAAGAAAGCACGGGCCCAGGGGCCCCCTCTGGAAAGCTGGTCTCTTTCAATGACCAAAGTCAAGCCAGTGTGGTATCAGGGCCCTTTGATTTTCTGCCCCATACTGTTCTTGCTCACCTTGTCATAAAATGTGAAGATGGCATTGAACTCTTCTGAGGTCAGCTTCATGCCCTAAAAGACCAAGGAATTAAAGAAGTAAAAGCCCTGCGGTGTGAGTGTGTGAAGGAGACTGTGTAAACAAGCATGTAAGTCTGGGTGTGGGTCTGTGTGTGCTGGGCTGGAGCAAAGGAGGAGGGGAGGCCAAAACTCAGAGGGACGAGGGGAAAGCAGGAGACCAAGAAAAAGAAGGTGACTTTTATACCTGAAATTTCAGTAGGAAGTTTTCTTGTACTGGCAGGAGTCTGGAAAGAAAACATTAGAACGGGGATTAGAGGACGGGGCACAAACAAGAACCATTCAGATGGGGAGCAGGCATAGAGGCAGAGTCTGCAGTTATAGAAGTGATCTCTGAGCACTTCACAATCAGGAGTTGGTTGAAATGTTCCAAAACAAACAAACAAACAAACATAGAAATGGGCAAAGCAAGACGGCAACATTTCCAGTTCCAGCCAGCTCTGTCTTGGGCTGCTTGACACCCAGAACCGCTACTTTCCCGCTCACTGCTCTCTGGTGGGAACAGCAGCACAGGAGTTTGTCCAAAGTGACACCGGGGCAAAGGCAAGTGCTTACCGAGACATCTCGGAGAGGCCCAATTTACCATCCCCATTCAAGTCAAACATCCGTAGCTGTTGGGGACAGAAAGACACCAGGGTTATTTGATTGACTTTCTCATGCAGGACAGTCCCCTGCCATCCTTTCCACTGGGGGGTGAGGAAGATGGAGTGTGCTCGGACTTTACTGGCATCACCTTGAAGCTAGGGATCACCATAAATTGATCACTGGGAGTCAGTGGAGACCTGGTTCCTGTTCGTCTCTTCTGGAGGACAGTGAGACACAGCAACCAGCACTGAAGGGTCACTCTCTCTAGATTCATTCTCTCCTGGAGCTGAATCAATTGCCATGGAAACAGATGAACCCCCTCTCCCCCAAAGTATCATTCTGGCTTGGGAGTCAGTTCAGTGGGGACCTCCAAGGATGTATGGGCCATGAACTTGCATTCCTATTGTCATTGTGAGTCACTTTACCCAGGCCTGAAGAGTCAGTAAAGACTGTACACTAGAAACCCAGTGGCTCAGGCCCATGCCCCACACTGCTGTCACTCACGATGGTTTGGGTGTATTCCTGGAGCTTCGGCTCATCATAGGGACGGTTAGCCTTCTTCAGCAGGTCGGACAGGAACCCCTAGAGCACAAAAGGCCTCTTCAGAGCTGGACTCAGATGCTCACTCAGATGCTCACCCATTCACTTACCAACTTCATTTAAACAGTCAAGGATGGTTGGTTTTTGAGGTCTACCAGTTAAATAGCTTACATCTATCTTAGTTCCCTAACTCTTTAATGTTTAGGTCCGAGTGGCTCCTGGTTGCAACCTTACCCATAGACTAGGTGGTAGAGACTGGCTCTGACTCCCCTCTCAGAGCCTAGTACATAGGGCTCAGCTGGTCCCGAGACTGCCCATAGGAATTGGGGTTCATGCCAGGATCAGTTACCCCTGAGCAGACCACAAGCATGTGCTTGTCATCCAACATCTTGTTCCTCGGGCTCCTCAAACCCACTGCCACGTTGGCCTCACTCCCATGCTCTGTGCCCTCCACCCCACCCCCAAGGCCCGTTCTACCTTGAGTTCATTGGCTTCAATGTAACCGCTTCTGTCCGTGTCATACTTCCGCCAAGCCTGCAACAGGAAAGTCAACCGCTTCACAAAGACATCAAAACCTGCCACTTCCCTTCTAATTCTCTTTAATGGGACAGGTAGAGTCTTGTTGGTGTTCAAGAATGTTAAAGACTGTAGTACTCTAACATGGGGGTGGTTTAGCTCAGTCCCTTTAATGTCACAGGGGAGGGAAACGAGGAGAGTCTCTTGGTCAAGGTCACATAGAGAAAGAGAAGGAAAACTACCCAGGCAAGGTCTCTAATTTGCTACAGTTTTGGGTTCTTTCTTGGATCATCTTTTAAACCATGAGTTACTGTTTTCTAAGTGCTGCAGCTTTGACCAGGGCTAGAACAAGGAGCTGGTGGATTTTCTGTTGGCTCTGTGTAAATGAGATACCTTTTTACTGCTGTGGAAGCTTCTCATTTAAGTGAGGAAAGGGTTAGGAGGAAGCCTCTAGAAGGAGCAGGAGCAAGCTGAGTTTCTGTTTATTGTTTTCACTTCTCCATCCTTCCAACATGGTGCACTTGATGGCACTCAGTTATTTTAAATTATCCCAAACCACTCTCCAACCTTTTTTAAAAAAAGAATTCTCTCTCTCTCTCTCTCTCTCTCTCTCTCTCCCACATAATCATAATCCATCTAGTTCAGGAAACCATCCAATCATAATCTAATTCAACGAAAGTTGACCTCATCTCCAGAGTAGACATGTGATTTACATCTGGCCAATCAGAGACCTCCCTGGATCCCATCCCACACTGGTTCTGGACTCTGATGTGAGTTTCTTATTTGGTGAAGATGTTAGTGCCCTGCAAGACACCAGGGCCCAGCCTGCTGACCATAGCAACTGAGATTTTAATTCCTCCACAGAAGACAGCTTCATTAGCTGACATAGGTCTAACCACCACGGAGATGCTATATCTTCCAGCCCCATTCAAGCCTTCAAGGCTGTCCAGCTGGCATCCTGACCTTGAGTTCACAAGAGACTCTCAACCAGAGCCACCCAGCTAAGCTGTCCCAAATACCCAATCATAGAATCTGTGAGATGTCAAATATTTGTTGATTTACAGTACTAAATCTGGGGGATAATTTGTTATGGAACAATAGGTAACTAATACTCTAAGAACACATGGTCTCATAACCAGTGCTCTGAAACTTTGGTCTTTAACAGGAGTCAACTGAGAGCAGGGAATGCTGGGGATAGAAGGAAGGGGAATTTGTTGCCCAAGGCAGTGGCAAAGAGGTTCAGAGAACCCTGTTCCTCTACAACTTTGGACTATTTTGGTGTTTCATATTTCTTTCAAATTTTGTTCCCTTGACTTTTCTGTCCATAATCTCCGAGCTCCAAACTACAGACTTGACTACCAGCTACACTGGGTTCCCTTAGAGATCCCCCAAAGGCCAGATATTTTTCTTAATTTTTACTTCCAATGGTCCCCACTTCTCTACAAGTGCCTCTTGGATTTATAGGAGTATTGAAGCTTGTGGATAATTTAGGATCTTTCTTTTTCTATCAGTAAACAAAGCAGAATGATTTCCATTGCATACTAGGGTATTTGGTCTTGATTTTTTTCAAGCTATGAGACATAAGCAAATCTATACTCTAGACAGCTTGGATAGATGGTACCCAGTCCTCTGCAGGGCAGAGCATCCAGACACTGCTTTTCTGTCTGTACAATCCCATAGCAGGTCAGAACCCCTCTCCCTAGCCCATCCCTACTCGCTCGGGGCTCCACACTCTTCCTTTCCCCTCCAACAGTGTGTCCATCCACTAAAGCATCCTTAATCTCGTCTCATTCAAGAAAAAGAGTTCAAGAGACCTGGGCTTCGTGGAATCTCAAAGAAGTCCTGAGGCGTTCCTAAAATTAGACGTTAAATGTTCTGAGCAGTGGGACAGAGTCTGTCAGAGAACACAAGCCTTTCAGGAACTGTTCCTGAGGGAACAGTCCATGTTTGCAGATGATAACAATGGAATGGATGGCTAACCCAGGCACAGGCCATTCTAAAGGGTGTGGGGTCCCAGGAAGAGTGTGTGTGTGTGTGTGTGTGTGTGTGTGTGTGTGTGAGAGAGAGAG